GAGGAGCAGGAAGGCTGACATTTCGGGCCTAGACCCTTCTTCAGAAAATGAAGAAGGGTCTAGGCCCGAAATGTCAGCCTTCCTGCTCCTCTGATGCTGCTTGGCCTGCTGTGTTCATCCAGTTCTACACCTTGTTATCTCATGCCCTTAGTTCATCTGGTTTACCTGTTAGGCCTCTTGCATTGAAATAAATGCAGTTTAATTTATTAGTCCTACCATGTTCTCTGCTTTGTTCCTGGCTGCCCTGACTGTTTGACTTCTTTTCCCAATTGCACCAGTCTCAGATTGACCTCTTGTCTCACTATCTCCTACCACCACCTACCCAACACTTACTAGTTTATATCATCCCAAGCAGCTCTAGCAAATCTCCCCACCAGTATATTATGCCCCTTCCAATTCAGGTGCAATCCGTCCTCCTTATACAGGTCACTTTTACCCCAGAAGAGATTCCAATGATCCAAAAATGTGAATGCTTCTCTCCTGCACTAGCTCCTCATCCATACATTTATCTGTTCCAGCCTCCTATTCCTACCTTCACTACTTCATGGCACCAGGAGTAATCCAAATATTACTACCTTCTGGGACCTACATTTTAAATTCCTGCCTAACTTCCTATATTCTCTCCTCAGAATCTTGTCCGTATCTCTTCCTATCTCATTTGCTACAATGTGTACAACAACCTCCTGCTGATCACTCTTCCCTTTGAGAATATTCTGCATCATCTCCAAGAGATCCTTGATCCTGACACTGTGGAGGCAACACATTATTCTGATGTCTTGTTATTGGCCGCAGAAATGTCTGTCTGTGCCTCTAACTAGACAGTCCCCTATCACAATTGATCGCTTGGAACCTGATGCATCCCTTGTTACATTAGAGCCAGTTTCTGTACCAGAAACCTGGTTGTCAGTGCTATATTCTCCTGAGAATCCATCAGCCCCAACATTTTCCAAAACAACATATTTGTTTGAGATGAGCCACATGGGGCTTCCTGCACTACCTGCCTTCCTCTCCTACTTTTCCTGGAGGTAACCCATCTACCTTTGTATTCAGCATCTATCGTCCCATCATTGTTTCAAATTTGTTGGATCTTTCAATTGTTATACCAAACTGACATAATAGTAACTAGCCTCAAGACTAGACGATGAGGCAATGACATGTTTCTTGTTGGTCTTGACATTCATCCTAATCCCCCTCATTGTATTTCTCCCGTAGTTACATTAGATCTTGAAACACCTGATTCTACTCAATATCTAAGAACAAGATCAATAGGGCACCAAGGTTTTCTCTGGACATATACTATATGCACTAGATCATACAACCTTGTGTCTTAAATTCAAAGAGATATTTTGGTTTGGATTTTGTAAGCATTTGCTGGTTGTACTGTTATGGTACGTTTAATATTCATGTGCTTTGATTTTGGTGTCGTAAAATTCTTAGGTTTTAAATTATGAACAGTGTGGCTTCAACCTTTTTTAGTAATATCCTAGATTTTTGGATTCTAAACAAAAATCCCAATTTCTACAAAGATCATACGAGCTTGATGCTTGGCTAATGTATCTAGCCTATCAGGAAAATGATTAGAGAGTGTAAGTTCTATACAGAAAATTTCATGGAAATTAAAATGTGTTGCAATTTATGCTACATACTAAGAATAACTGGATAAAATGCAGTTATAAATTTGGATCCATATTTGGAATCATTTGGCCCATCAAGTCTGCACCAACCGTCCAAAGAGCATCCCACCCAGATCCAGCCCCATAACACCACATTTATCATGATTGCCTACACATTCCTGCACACTAGAGCATGATCAATCCACCCAACGTGCACACCTTTGGACTGTGGGCAGAAACCAGAGCATCTGGCAGAAACTCACGTAAACACAAGAATATGCAAACTCCATACACAAGACTGGAATCAAATCCAGGTCCCTGGCACTATGAGACAGCAGTGCTAACCACTGGAGCATTGTGCTGCTATGTCTTTGTTGCTCCCCATTCTCTACTTTCTGGTCTGTTGGACACATACAGTTCTATGCTCAGAATAAAGAACATTTCTCATTAGGACCACATGATTGACTTCACCTGCACTTTGTAGAAATAAGAAACTGCCTTGAATATCCTTGAGTTACATCTTTGCTGCAGTTTTTGGCTAAGTCATAACATTCTAAACACTGTAAGGATGCTATTTTGGGTTTGATAGGAACATTATTTGGAGTGTGATGAAGTTAGGGGACAAACTTGCTGTAAATTGGAATTTGGGATGTAAAGTGGGTATGGGGCATGCACATATCCAGGTAAACAGTTTTCCAATGGATGCCTAATTAATAATAAGACAATAAGAGGCAGGAGCAGAAGTAGACCATTCAGCCCATTGAGTCTGCTCTGCCATTCAATGAGATTATGGCTGATCTGAGACTGCTCAACTCTAATTTCCTGTTTATTTCCCTATAATCCTTGATTCCCTTCCTGATTAAAAATCTGTCTGTCTCAGCATCAAATATGCTCAACAACCCAAGCTATGCAGCCATCTACAGAAAAGAATTTTGCATGATAGAAGAAATAACTCCTGATCTCTGTCATATTTGCTCTGGGATAATGCTATGTGGTCCTAGACTCTCCCACAAAATGAAACAACCTTTCCACATTTACATTAATAGGACCCCTAGGACTCCTGTATGTTTGAATATGCTCACCTCTCATTCTTGTAAATTCCAGTCAGTATAGGTCCAATCTACTCGACCTTTCCTCATAAGACAATCCTTTCATACCCAGGATCAACATAATGAACCTTCTCTAGACTGCTACCAATGCCAATGTACAATTCCTTAGATGATGGGACCAATAGTACTGGCTGTAGTCCCAAAGAACCATAGGTCTGTTCTCTCATAAGAGAGAGACAACTGGTGCAGGATGAAATGTGTCTCAGATTATTGATTAAAGGAAAGGAAGAAATACTCTTTCATTCTAATTAACAGGGTAATGAGCCACTGAGCAAATACAAGTCAGACATTTTCTGGGTGTGAATAGGATAGTCTAAAATAATTAGACTGATTCCAACTTACCATTTATTGTTGACAACTCTTAACACATCTATAACATAAACAATGTTTGTGTAACAACATTGAACAAGAAGGGCAGAATGTCTAAATGACGTAGGCAATAGTGAGGTGTTTTGGTAGAATTGCTCGATGAGTCCAGTGAGGTGCATCTTGACATCAGAAGCAATTCACTGCATCTGCTGGGTGTCGAACCGAGTTTCTGGCTAAACAGCAACAAGATGCCTTTTAATAGGGATTATTGCTTGTTGACTACCTTACGAGTGGCACATCTTGCTCTTTAATATGCAGGTTCCCATTTTAGAAAACTCAATATAAAGAATTCTCAACATAGAAGTTGGAGTAGGTACCTAGTGCCTTCAATTCACCATTTTCTCCAAAGAACCTCCATGTTGGACACCAGGCACCAACATCTCAGGGAAATCTGCATAGGCACTGGATGTGAAGGGAGACAGTCAGGAGGTAAGTAATCAAATGTTGAGCAGCCCACCACCCATCATGATTCTTTATGTCCTATTTTGGCCTGCTTTCCTCCTGGAATGAGAGATGGGTAAGGATTCAGGGATGAAATTGGATGGCACAACTGTTAATTTTGGTGCAGGTTGGGATGTGTCCCCAGAAAATAAGTAGGCAGCTCAGAGGGCATGCAGGGTTAGTGGCTTTGGAGGTTGGAATAGGTGAGCGCAGTTGAGGGAAGATGCTACAGCCACTAGCGGGAGTTGTAGAGCATGACCCTTTGTGGGAGGTGGACATAGTAGTACAGATAGTGTGAGGTATCAGAGTAAGGATGATGGCACTTGTGTGGCAGAGTAGACAAGCTCGTTGACTTACTTCTTACATTGTTGTGCATTGCTCCAGACAGCTGAGTCTGCACTGACCCAGGTGACAATCTCAGACCAAGCTGGTACTGGTTGTTGTGGCCTCCTGTACTGTTTTTAGGAGAAGAGGTCATCCCACGTCTGTACCATGGTCTCTGCCCATAATGTGAGGTACTAAATTTTCCTTTTTCCATTTAGGGGCAATTGCCGTGGGCGGCACAGTGGCTCAGTGGTTTGCACTGCTGCCTCACAGCATCTGGGACCCGGGTTCAATTCCACCCTTGGGCGACTATCTGTGTGGAGTTTGCACATTCTCCCCGTGTCTGCATGGGTTTCCTTCGGGTGCTCCGGTTTCCTCCCACAGTCCAAAGATGTGCAGGCTAGGTGCATTGGCCATGCTAAATTGCCCAT